GTTTTGTCCATCACACCCAAGCTTTTAGTTTAGGAGTGGAATAGACATGTCAATCACCATGACATGTACAGAGAAATTACCCCCCAATATGGACGAAGAACTGCAAAGCTCTGATGGACAGAACATGCCGTCAGCTTCAGATGACAAATTGCACACAAAGTCAACAGAAGACACATCAGTTATGACAAGGCCTAATGATCCCACTTGATAAACATACAGAGGCGATAACAGAAAACAGAGAAACTGGGAGGGAACTTTTTTCGAACGTGAGTCCCTGGTTGGTTCTGACATCATTCAGAGGCTGAGTAGCCGCACAAACACACATGGTTTAGTTACAGCTAACATCTGTACAGTTGACAAATAAACATAAACAGTCCAGAGGTCAAATTTGTGCAAAATGAGGTAATAATAAGGCAATAATTGGGGTTTTTTGTTCTGAACACACTCGAAGAGGTTGTTTGGAGAAAAACACCAGCGAACACTGACGCACCGATGGAGAATGCGAGTTTCGCTGCTAGCATTGTTTTATGAAATTTACAACATTCCAGCTGCCACTTGGAACACGAAATTATGAGATTTTTCTTCCATCACAAACAGGAACATACTTTGCATTCATGTGCTTGTAAGTTTAAACTACAATACCAGAGGAGCCTATATGTATAAAGATAAGATGCAAAGATTTGAAGGCAGTTATCTCCTTTACATTTCATCCACTGAAACTTTAATCTAGCGTTAACTCAACAATTTGTCTTCTGGCAGCAGGATGATGCTGGAATCTTCCTTCTTTGGTTACCGAGTGAATAGCTTAGTAAAAACACTTAACCCTCTAACCAGACTAACCGGACCACAACGTCTATTTAGGCTACTCAGTGCCTGATCAAAAAGGCCTGTGTCTGGCCACACACGTTTCAGTCGCTGGTCTGCTGAAAACTGAGAAGTATCATCTTAACTAAGATGTTGGCAAACCTCACCCGCCACTGCAGACGGTGCATTTTCCCCGTCTGCTGCCTCTGGACATGGTTTTTAAAGCTGCGAATGAGTGTTGAGCGGATAGTGAGGAGGCCGGGCAGCAGGTCTGAACACAAGGACTGATTTCAGACTATACCTTGTTCAGTGTTACGGATTTCTTTGTCTCTCTAAGCGGCTTTTTTCTTGTTATCATTCTTTTTGTTCTTTCCCTTCTGGTTTGTCTCATTCCTTCTCTACGCTATTTCTTGTTCTTGGCGCCACTTGACAGACTGGGTTAGTAACAGGGTGCTGCTGACATAACAAGCCAAGTGCGCTCCAAGAAAGACATATATAGTACCTCACACCTTCTCTGGTAGGGAAAAATTAAAGGAGACTGGCTGGGTGCTGCATGTACTGGGCGGCCTTTGCTCCTTTACTATATAAGTGGGGGCAAGGCCAAGAAGATCTATCTTAGTCTGAGCATCTGTCCTCCCTACTCCCCTCTTCTTACTTCTTCATTGAGCCTTTGGCACCAGTCTTTCTATCTGAGTCTCACTCTCCGTGACCTCACGTTGCTCGTGCTTTCCTGGCTTTGGAATCAGTGGAACCTCAGGCTGATATATGAAACCGAGACTTGCATCCACCACTTCTCCAGGGGGAACACTGTTCCACCCCTAAAAGATCATTCTGGGCCGATAGAATGCAGAAAATTTGCAGCAGTTCACAAGGGCTGAGCTTTAAATGTGAATTACTCAAGCGCTCAAATAGCTTCCTGGAAGCACCGATGTAAAAGAGTCAAGTATTCAAATAAGTTTTTGATTAATGCCTAAATGAAGACATTTTCTTATTCTGGCAGGGGTTTGTAGTCTGTCCTGGAAATGACAGAGAAAAATGTCGCTGACAACAACTAATGCTCGGATTAACTGGAAATTGTTTCGGAGGAAAATGGCTCATCTGGGGCTTAACAGCCCCTCTTACAAACAGTTAGTCAGCTTCGGTAGAAACATGACAGTGAAACCAGTCATAATAAGGGTATTTGTGATTCAGAAACACTGTCTGCTTCTTACAATGTTGAACCTGCAGTCGAGTCTCTCTCTATTTATCCCAGATCTGTGACTCAGGGCGCAAATATGTCCTGTGAGTCAAGAACAAAGAAAACATATGCATAGCAACTGTGCACTCTTCAGAGCCCTTGTATTGATTATAAGATTTACTATCACTTCAAGATAATTGTTTTGGGAAGGAGGAAGCATAAAAACTCTTTTATGAACCATCTGCCAAAACATTTAGTAGTTTCATTGAGCTACCACAAACATGCGGATGGCTATGCCAGCATAATTCCATAACACCGGCAAAAGCCAAAAATGACACAAGACCCTCACAATTAGCAAGAGGAGCACCATAAATGTCAGATGTAATTGAGAATGTTGCAGCGGTTTGGTGGAGAGAAATTACCCAGATGACAAACTGGCTAAAAAGTGACTGATGACCTCAGTGCCCAAACAAATTATGGCACTTCAACCGACTGTGAGCGGATTAGAAAAGCACTGGGCCAGCGTCCAAAATCGAGCACAATTTGACAAGATAAGTCTGAACCTGTAAGCAATAACGATCCATCAAAAATATTCCCGGAAACAATTACTCCCTTTCAACATCCTTGATCAGAAATATGGTTCCAGCCATGGTATAGTGATTAATCAAACCCAAAAAGTTATTTCCAACAAGACTGGAACTAAAACAGCCAGACGACGAAGCCAAGAAACTATTAGGCCTGTCTGATTAGCAGTCTTTGGAGAATTTGCTGAATGCACTAAAAGAGGCCTTCGTCTGAGCAATTATTAGTTGGATACTTTATAGTCACAGTTATTCCAATAAATCAAAGAACAAACTAAAGCGTTCAAAGCCGAAAGAAAATATAATCTCCCTGCTCTATTTTCATAGCAAACAGCATGGGTTAATACTTCTGTCTGGTAAGCCGTGTTACATTTTCCTACATTTTACAGATTTAGCCTAATACTTTTTCAAGCATGGCAGCAAATGGCAGCAAATGCTCACTTGCTTTACTTAGTATTTGTTTTGCTTAGAGTGTATTAAAGATTTAACATATGAACCCAGTCATCTGGTTTGATTTATTGTGACGATAAACACAACCAGCGCTGAACTTGTTTGTAATGAACTACTGTTTGCTCAGGAGCCTTTTAAATAATTTCTAATAGCACAGCGCGTCAATTTGTTTTCGTCAAGCCCGTCCGTATGACAGTAATTGCGGCTAAATCGAATATCTCTCCGTGCAAAAGCCGCAGAGCAACTGCAACAAACATTCAACAAGCTGAAAAGAAATATCAGATAATGTTTACGAGTTTGATGAGCTCGAAACCGAAATGGAAAAGCAGATTAAAGGATCTGAAAAGTGCAAAATGAGGGTTTAAAAGGCCTGGACACGACGAAGCAATTTAGACAAGAAAATCAGTTAATTTTGGAGGAATGGCGGCCATCTGTGGATTCCACAAGATGTGTTTGAGAAGCAAATTTGAGCTGTTTACCGTCAGCAAACCATCCTGACAGTGCCGACCTCTGAGCAAAGAGTCGGATGATTGGAGGCACAGGGAGTAAAGGAAGCTATCGGAGATTATTAGCTGCGCTGCTCCACTCGCTGTTCTTAAATTTTGCTCCACAATCCAGGGCAGTTATGAAACCAGAGCTGATAGTACAAATGTATATTTTGAAGGGATCTAACTTCCTTTAGCGCGTGTTAGCTGCTGATGATTAGACCTATGAGTCGTAGCTATAGGCAGCTTTTACACTGAAGGAACTCCGGGGAGGCTCAAGGTGGCACGAATGTTTATGGGAACAGCCCCGTCCTTTCTGTTTCCATTGTGGTGTGGGATCCGACAGCAACGTTAACTCCGAGTGTGCCAAAACAACAACAAATAGTCGTTCCCAGATGTAACTGCAGTTCTGTGAGCATGTGGGAAACAGAACAATGGAGGGTTTGTTATGTCATCCTATATGGTGCAGTTCACGTTGCTGATGGCGACGTTTGAATGAGGGACAACGAGAGGGCACGAATGCTGCTCGTTGTTTTCCCAGAGTTTAACTATTCAGTGTTAATTTGTTGAATAAGTAACTACCCTGAAGCGGGTACTTTGTCCTCCAACGAAAATCACCTTGGAAGAGGTTCGACGGGGAAGATTACTGATGTCAGAGCGTAGCTAAAGGTTTGGGCCCTAAAATGGTCCAGAAATTCCTGTAGTGGAGAACTACTGCTGCGACTGTTTAGCGTGACGGCCCTGAGTTTAGAACCCATGAAAGTGTTAAGGCCAATTAATGCTTTCTGCATGGATGACGAAATTTATGGTATGGATGATGTAAACTTCGTCCTTCACCTAAGTCCATGTGGTCTGAGCAGACCGTCCGTGTGCAGCAAGAAAACAAGTGGTTTTAAAACAAATGTTTGGTATGAGGGCTGCAAGGTGGCTCGGTGGTTAGCACCGTCACCTCGCAGCAAGAAGGTCATTGGTTTGCGTCCCGGTGAGGACACCCGGGATCTTTCTGCATGGAGTTTGGGTTCTCTCCGGGTTCTCTGGCTTCCTCCCACATGGTCCAAAAACATGTTGAGGTTAACTGGTGATTCTAAATTGTCCATAGGTGTGAATGTGAGTGTGCTTGGTTGTCTGTCTCTAAGTGTGGCCCTGTGTTAGACTGGTTACCTGTCCAGGGTGTCCCCTGCCTTTACCCTGAGTCAGCTGGGATAGACTCCAGCACCCCACGACCCTAGGGAGGATTAAGGTGTATAGATAATGAATGGATGGATGGATGGATGGATGGATGGATGGATGGATGGATGGATGTTTGGTATGAGGAGAGGCAATACAAGGAAGTTCTCGCCCATCAACACCTTTATAATTCATCCTTCAAAGAGTTGCAATTGAAGTACAGGGACAGCATGATGTGGTCGTTGTTCTTGAAATGTTATATTTTGCACCATCCTTATTTGGCGAAGGTGTAAGGCTCTTCCTGACTATAACAAGAGAAGGCATTGAATCACTTACACAGTGTGGACGGGCTGCCTGGTAGTCGCAGGTCGTGGGGTCTGGACCTTGGCGGTGTCGATGGCGTGCCTTTCCGAGGGCCTTCTCTGCGGTTGGTCTCTCTGGAAAGGGTTGGTGCCTGGTTGAACTCGCCTCAGGGCGCCTCCGTCGCGGATGTACACCTGCTCCGGAGCCACCTCCTCACAGCGGGGCCCCTGGAAGCCTGAGCGACACACACAGGTATGTGGTCGGCTGCAGGAGCCACGGTTCTGGCAGGGGGGCTGGCAGTCAGCTGAAGAAAGAGCACAGACGGAGATCAAGTTCTCAGCAGGTCATGTTAGAGCATGTGCCCCCCTTGTACGAAGGGGCAGTAGCTGAAATGGCTTTCCCTGATCTCGACACCGGGGCTCAGTTTAAGTTGATTCAATCAAGGGGCTATTAGTTTCACTTCTGAACCATTTTTGTCCTTTTCATTCAGCGGACAGCCTGGAGGGGCTGTCATGTTCAATTTCTCTTGAGTCTTTAACTACCCTGTTTAGTCTAAATGTATATGATCACTTACATTAAATCCTTATCCAATTTCTCTCTGAGGTAAAACCTATATGACAAGTTCATGGCTCAGTTTAGTGCTGAAGGCATTTCCATATACAGTAATTTCCTAAATGCACCTTTTGTCACTGATCTAGAATCCAGCGTGTGCTTTCACTGCAACACAGGCCGCTTTAAAAAAAAAAGGTCATAAAAGTAAGAGGTCACAAAAAAAAAACCCATGAGCGAATAGGAAAAACTGCAAACTGGAGGCCAACTGCAAATATGTGACACTTCATCAAAGAAATGAACTGTAGAGCTGTGTCCTTTATTTATAAAGCAAACTGAATCTGATGAGGCTTACTGTACTTAACAGATGAATGTGTGCATAATATTTATCAATAGTCTGCAAATACACAGAGCTGACGTTATTTCACGGTCATGGAAAAACAATCTGTGTCACTCTGCCCGCCCACCCCGACCGTCCCATCGCACTCCAGATACTTCAAGTACTGTAAGACGCTGTGGCACGCAATTTAAAGCAAACAAGCTTTCGATCTTATGACACAAATGTATGTAGTAGACGGCACTTGGGGATTTATGACATTGTCCTCAAACAGTAAATCAGACCACTGGTCTGCGGTGGCTAAAGCAAACAGCGGCGCTCTGTCAACAGGGCTATGGAATGCTATTGACACAGATGCTGTGGACACTGACAGATCGCAGGCAGGAACAGTGCAGCGGCTCTTGGCAGCGAGAAGCGCTGGCTGCCAGAAAGGACCCCACTGGGTGCGAACAGCGCTCTACCTGCTGCACATTTCCTGTTATTGCAATACTGCTCAGACTCTGGCCACTTTATGTTTCCTTTAGTCTCGAGCGAAAGCACTCCGGACCCGGAGAATGCCGCGTCCATGAGCTCACAAGTGATGGAAACATGACAGCGCTGTGCAACAACTGCAGTGTCAGAGATTTATTTCCATAGATATATTCCTACAAAGAGAGCCAAATCTGTATTTTGGTTTTCTTAGATCATATGCATGCTTAATTAAAAACCGCTGCATCATCAGGCTGCGGCATAATGAGGAAAACTAACAAATTGAGGATTAAATATCAGACAGTTACCACTCTCTTCTGCTTTATGGTGAAGCAAATTTTATTTGGATCAGTTCACTCAAGCATTTCATTTTAACTGCTTTGAGGAAAATGTACACCCTTTTCTGATGAAGTGTACACATTTAGAGAAACGTGGTTGCGGATTTGTATAACTTGGGACGTGATCCGAATTTTCCATCATGGGATAAAATAGGGATTGTCTGAGCTCTGTTTGGCAAGAAGCAAAATACATCATCTACCTAAAGTACAGGCTGGCCGGGTGCCACAGTCCTGTCCGGAGTCTGTTTAACCTCAAGTTTGGTGGATGAAGCGCTGGATCAAATAGGCCACGGGCTCCAGTGACATGACGCTGGAGGGAGAGAACTCTGTAATGTGTGAAAGTGCATTCTTCAAATAAACCATCTGAATCGAAACGAGAAACAGCGCGGGGCGGGAAGAGTAACCCGTTCACGGCTGGCTTACGACGGGACGCGTTCGATCGCGCGACTCGTTTTCAGCCGCGAGGCCCAGAACTGACACCAGACAAACACGCCGCATGCGCTGACAACAGAGCGGACAGGTCAGTGACTCCGGGCCTGACCTCCGCCCCACATGAAGCTCGCATGGCCGCGGCGTACAGTGTCACTGCCTATCTGTGTTGTCTCTGGGCCCTGCCTCTGGGCTGCTGAACACATTGTCACAGTAATTGCTGTCGTGCAGATTTGTCTTGCACATCATTAAAACTAATTGCCTCACATTCCATCCATTTCACAAATATGCGCAGCAATTATTACTTTGCGAGAGTAATAATAAAATGAGAATCCATCGGAAATAAAAGAGGAGAAATGGCAAACATTCCTGGCATTGCCACTTCAGCCTTAATTATGACTGAGACAGACCGGCCAAGTTTTTCTCGGAGATTGTGTCCACGTCCAGTCATCTGAAAAGAGGAGACTATTAGACTGTTGTTGGAAGCTTTTAGCCGTCCGTGAAAACATGCTGATCCAGACGAATCGGTAATAACCACATTATTAAAATAGAAACATCCTTTTCTTCGGGCTTAGCTGAAATATTTGTAGCTTTAAGTAAAGTCGAAGGCATTCTAATACTCTGAAACCTTAACTCACGTCAGGAAAGTTTAAGGAGGCCTTCGCTGGCTGAGCAGCATCTCCGAGGAACAGCCTGGCTGCTATGATTAACACAAACATCCATCCAAAATCTGCTTAGAGGTTAAAGAACCAATATGAATGACTCCGATCGTCAGAGGTTTCATTTGAGGCGAACAGACAATAATTCTCTACCTATATTAAAGCAGGGGCTTTATTGGAGAAAGTATTGTTCTTGATTTCCCCGGCGGGTTACAGTTACCTGTCATAAGTTTAGCTTTGCATGCGCATGTAAGCAGGACTGCCATTCTCATCCCCCTTTTACTGGTCTCTCATTTCCAACTTAGCGCTCGTTTCCAGTCCATTACAATCCCCGAGAGATTCACCTTCGCCTCTCTCTGACTCAGAGTAATACAACCCATCAAATCTTTACAGTCCTCTCATTCAGCGCGGGGCAATTTGAAACCAATATCTGACATAATTCAAACAGGTAGAGAAATCTCCTCACTTTACGCGGGTCAACAGTGCTTCCAGAGGTAACCCGACATTTCTGAAAATAATATTGATAATGAAAGCATAATCACAATTACCTTGGGAAGGACTCGCCACAGGCTGAGAGCATTACGCACCATTATGAGATTTGGAGGCCGGGAGCTGCTCCGGAGATTAGAATTTAGCAGAATATGACAAAAGGCTTGACTAAAGGCTCTTTCAAAGCCTGAAACTCAGAGACAGGAAGTTGGGTAATAGGAATGAAAAACAAAATATCATTGGAAATTTAGCGACTCGCTTGTGATTGGCTATCGAAGTGAGATTTAATAATGTTTTAACGTAGCAGGGAGAATGCGTGTGTGCTTAAAACCGCTGAAACTTTGCACAGACGAGCGTAAAACTGTCTGAAGACGCAGTCTGGCGAACCTCCTGTGATGACAGCAGGAGCCTCTTTTTAGGAGTCATCACAAAACCTGACAGATCTCATGAAAGGGGTCAAGGGTTGGAGATTGCAGGAGGCAGAGTGGAGAGAAGACAAGCTGAAACATTTGCCTCTCATCCGGACTCGCTATCCACTGAAGAAGTAAAGAATTGGTCTATTGAGCAGTTAATACAATTGCCCCCTAAATGCTAATCATTTCAAGTGAGTGTTAATCTCTCTCTGCAACATGTGATTTCCACATGGTTACCATTGCTATCATTTCTGGCTTGCCAAGCACCAGCTTTTTGCTCTCTCTACCAGCAAACTGCTGTTACTGTAACTCCGCAAGCTTCCATTAAAAGTTCAGAAACAAACTTCTCCATTTTTCTAATCAAAACCAGAGGGGAGGGAGCCTGACACGGTTTGACTGATCCTTTATTTTCTCTTTGTGGTAAATCTTACAAGGGTAATATTTCACCAAATTAAGGTGCCTCTGTCATGGATGCACATTTTTCAATCACACTGTGGGTTTCTTGGTCCAATACAGTAGTTGAAGCTTTTATTCCCCCAAAACCCACCTCAGCTCCGCGGGGGGGATTTTGTTAACCTACATGTGACCCATGACATTGTGTACATTACTTTGAGCCGTGCCGTATTGTGCCTCCGCCACACCCCTCAAACTCCCCGCTTTCGACCTCTAATGGGCCACATGCTGGGGGGGCGGGGGGGGCACTCCGTGGAGGATATCTGGATCTGGGGGAGTGCGCCTACAACTTGTAAAGCTGACTCTGTGAGACGTGGTGTTCACCAAAAACCCACAAACCCCATCTTCCTGAGGGATCACATCCCAACCACTTCCATATGGTCTTTAAGCAGGAGGGTGCTGTGATATATGGCCGGCTACAGGCTGCCCTAACAACACTGTGGCCTCGCTGAGCGTGTGGTGCGACTGAAGGAAGAGGGGCGCTTGTCGTTTAATGTCGCTCTGTACGTGTCAATCAAGCGTGGACTTGCTTCCCGGGCTCATTGCGGAGGGATCTGCTTCGGCATATGGACATTTTTTTGACACCGGGAATAAAGAAAAGTTATTGAGTGCTAATGAAGAACACTTCCCTGCATAGCGTGACTGTGCGTGCTTTTCCCCTTCGCTTTTCATTATTTTATATTCTTAACAGCTTATGAACAAAGATGTACAAATAAACAAAAGAGAAATTTAATACATACATGTCTAGGTCCAAGAGCTGAATAGTGCCTCATTTTCACCACACTTTCATCCATGGTAGCAATTAGAAAAACATGTGGCGCAGGAGGCCAAAACAGGACCCAATTGCAACCTACAAACAGACGCACCAGCTGGAGTGGAGAAAGCAGCACTCCTGGTTTGAGAGCGAGCTGTCCGGCGTCTATGTTAATGATGGGGTTTGGGAAGATGGGGTGTGTATTGATTACAGGATATGTCTAATGGGCTATAACTCTCAACAGGGCTGCCAAAGGAGTGTCATGCCCCTGAATTGTAAACTGCGCAACCCCCACAAATCCACATGCATGACATATAAAGCCGAGGAGGGCCGCGCGGCTGGTCTCTGCTGCAGTAATTTCAACCTCGGCCCAATGACGTCACCAGAAACACCAGCATCTTTTAAAAAAAAACCT